TAGATAGCTCTAGACTTGTCATTTGCCAAAGGTTCTGCTTTGCTGTAGTACAGCTCTTACATTTTTTATTAAGATGCAGTTACACACCTAATTCCATATAGATACATACAATAAGACAATTTAGAAACGCATTTTTGTACAAGCTACCTTTCATTACTGGCAGATTTTTGTTTGCTTGCAAGTTTCAGAAAGTTCTTCAACATTTTGCTGCCTGTACTAACATTTTATTTTTTTTTTTCCATTGCAGCCTTAAGCAATGAACTGAACCTGACACAGCATCATGCTTATCCTTGGGCTTCCTCCTTTGGTTCTTATTTCAGGAGCAATGTTCTCTTACATTACCATGTCCTCATGCATACTAGAGAATGGGCTGAGTGTTCTCTCTCTAGCATCTTTTCTGCCTTTATCGACAAGTTATCTTAAAAAAATTACTATGATAACAAATATACAACACACAATGCTGTGTCTGTGAATTTTGAGCTGCTGCAAGATACAGAGAGGAATTAAAAGGTCTCCAGAATCCTGGAGAAGGTGATGACAAAAATAGTAACATCCAGACAGTTGCTACAGAAAAGTGTTAATGCCCTAGACCTTCCCTGGGGAAACAGGTGTTAGTGTTTAATGCTGTCAGGAACAAGCAAAACTTGAGGTCCATTTCAGCGGAAATTCCATCCTATTCTTGGAGTAAGAGCACCAAAAAGATCATCCCAAATCAAAGCCTCAAATGAGCTGTAAGAGAAAACATCACACTCGCATCCCCATAGCTGGCTAGCTTTCTTTTTTGGGTGACAGCCTGCAGCACCACCCACACCCACACACTCAGCACCATGTCAGATGCCCCCAAAATCTTTCAGTCTCATTCGTGAACTCACAAAACACCCAATAGAAGATGCAGAGGCTGTTTTGCAGGCACCATCACTTTATATTGACTTATTTTACATATTCCTGTTGCGAAATGCAACAGCACACCCTGCTATGTGTGAAGTTATCAGTCACATGGCTTAGACCTAAAAGAAAAATCAGATCTCCATCCACTAAGCCTTGTCACATGCTTCTAGGAGTCAAAACATTTGGTATCTCAGTTCCCTGAGGCAGGTTTCACCACTGGAGAAATGATGGGAAGATTTACTTTTTCGTTTTCAACTGACAGTACTGCATGAAGCCTAAGTAGCACCCACAAGACATTATAGCATCATATGTTGCAAAACAGAAATAAAATACCTGAAAAATCTGCTGCCAACAGATCCACTGCCTTTAAAACTTTGACTTGTAAGAAACCAACATCCTTTATGTCCCGAAAGGAATTCTTTATACACTGCAAGGAAGAAAGCATAAAGATATATTTTGTTTGTAATTCAGTAAGGAAAATGATTTTTTGAAAGAGTAAGTGACTTGCATTTTTAAATCCATTGCTATTGCTGTGGTGTGTCAGTGCAGCAGCTGATATACCCAATCATACATGTTCAGTCTCACTGCATCATGACCCTGAGGTTCATGTCATCAGACACCACCTGCCCCTAAGGAAATTCTCCATTCACATAAATTACTTGTTAATGTTATGATGGAGATTGGAAGGGGCCCTGCATATTTATTTAAGTATCTGCAACTTAAAACAAGAAAGACCTGAAGAAGCAGCACGGGCTGGAAAGGCAACACACTCATTTGGGAGTGAGGAATCTCTCCTTAAAAGTGACTTTAATTTGTGTTGTTCAAATTCCTCATCCTCCATCTCACACCTCATTTCAGGGACATTACTCCTTCTTGCCCAGCTTTTGAAGGTTGAGATGTGAAAGCCACCACATGGCTTTATCTTCCAGCAGTTGAACGTACAGAACACATCCTCAACAAAGGAGGAAAGAAAGCTAAGTATACTACGATCTCTCCATGATATTCAGTGTCTCACATTCCTTGTGATAACCTCTTAATTCAATCCAGGTTTGCACAGAAAAATATTAGTTTCAAACTCAGACACAAGCAGCCAAATTGCTTGAATCTATCTGCCCTGCCAACCTCCTTGTCACTCCAAACATAATAACTTCTCCATGTAATAGTTTTCTCTGGTAGGAGACATGTTATGATGACTGGACAAATCTTTATTTTCCTGTAATTTTGACTGCTTTAAAAGAAAAGGAGGAAAAAGGAAGAGGAAAAACAAAAAGATGCAAACTCACGTAACGCTGTGCAATCTGGTGCCTTTCACTGGGGTCTGCCAGAGGGCAGACACACAGGTCAGAGATAGACACTCCTGTACACGGGGCAACAGCAATCAACATCAGCAGGGACCCTGGATGTTTTTCCAGAGACAGCTCTAAGCAATTGGTCTGCTTTGTTGGCAGGGCAGTGATGTCAACTTGGCACCTAGAAAGACATTGCCGTGGGTTAATAAGAAAAAGAAGCTATGAAAAAAAAGTGCAACATTATATTGATTTCAGTAACATGCAGGCATCAAAACTTACTGCTTGTTTAGAATGGAAAGAATGCAAAAAAAAAAAAAAAGAAGCATCTCAAAATTAAACATGGGAAACCAATTAGCCAGTTTCTACTGTGCTGTCAGTTTTGCTTCTGGTTCACACACTGGTAAGCAGAGGTAAAGGGTTTGGGCTGTGAGTACAGTAGGAAAAGTAAAACTTAACTCTGGCCTGCCTCACTACCCCTCTAAAATCCCCTAGTGCTTTGTGATGGATTTGAGACACAATTTTATTTCACATGGGGGAAAAAAAAGGGGCAAACGTAAAATTTAAAACATTAGCCTAAAATAGATTAGTTTCTTTAGTCACATAGTCCATTTTATGCTACATTATACTGTATGCCCCAATCTCTTTTACAAGCCTTGCTAGAGCCACATTTTCAGCATACTGTTCTATTTCCCAAAGGGAAGGATCGTCTTAAAAGTCCCTCCCAACCCCTGCACATAATACGTATCATTAACCTGATATTTCCCTGCAAAAAAAAAAAAAATTATATATATATCTATAATTAGGAGGAAAAAAAGAGAAACATTCATAAAGAAATCATAATAAAAGATGAGGATGGGCTAAAGCAGAGAGAGATCACTAGACATACGTGAAGGGAGCAGTTAAAAACAACAGAAAAGCCTAATCACTTGGCTCAGCTAAATACCTTCTATTTAGAAGTCCAGTAAATGGAGTGGAACTTGTTTGAACCTCCATGGGCCTTGGCTTTTAAGAACGGGCTGAACAAAAGTTACAGATGAAAAAGGAGGGGGGGTGGAGAGGTGGAAATGAAGGAAGGAGCAGCTTTGTTAGCGCGGTGCAAGGGGAGCCACACTGCTCCAAGGGAGGGCGGGCGGGTGGCAGAGAGCGGGAGCTGTCGCTGCGCTTAACGCCTGCCGACAAGTTTTTATTTAAACTAAACTTGTTAAGGTGTTGTCTTAATAGGCTCAAATTCCACAGGGTTCCCCCAGGTGGGTTTCTTCTGGGTAAATGGTGCATGTAGTGTTCCTGACTGATCCCATTCCAGTAGTAGTGCTGGAGCGGTTTATACCCATCTGCTATAAATTGCGTGCTTTCCGCTCCTTAACAGCCTATTTTCTGTGAGTGCTAAGGGGGGCAAGGAAAAAAAAATAATCCTAAAGCATTTCAGCCTGAAAACCCAACAAACTATGTTACGAAGCAAAAGTCATCGCTCTGATGAGTTTGTGAGTCAACCAGATCTATTAAAACACAGCTCTTTGTGTAAGCTGCTCTCCACCAGAATCAATGGGGCTGCCTTCACCTTAAGTGTGCTCTTTGCTATTCACCGCACTGAACATACAACAGGTTGCAAGTTTACTCTTATTAACTGCTTTCAATTGCTTTGAAAGAGAAAGAAAATAAACCAGGAAGGGTACCAATACTGCTTGGCATGTAGGCTGCCTCTCAACACAATTTCCAAGTGTAAGAGGTTGCATTTGAAGCTCATTGCTATACCTAGAGTCTTCAGAAAGATATGACAAGAGAAGATACACAGAAAGGAAATAAAAAACACCACCAAAAAAAGCAAACATTTGAGAAAAAAGACCTTATCACTTCCACACTGGAGGTCAACATCACCTTGGCTGCACTAACACATTTGCTTCTCAAGCTGCAGCAGTTTTACTGATACTTTTGGTATCAGTGCAAAAGGGGGAATGTGTTGTTATCTGGAGTTTTTTGGTCTTGTTTCTTTTTTTACAGTTGAAGAAACTGAAGCAAGGAGAAGGGAAAACTCAGGGTCATCCAGCTGGTCTGTGGTTCAGCTGGCAATACCGGCCATGTCTCCCACATCAGCATTTCATAAACCACCCACTCACAGTTCAAAACTGGGAAAAGCTGCATTTGCTTTTTCATGTTAAGAACTTTCCATGGGGTAAGAGAGAAAAGACAGCTCGTTCAGACAACACTGTGTCTCCCACCAATAAATAAACTCAGAAATCTCTCGTATCTCAAAGGAAAAGTCAAACATGATTCTAGCCTGTTTTGGCAAACTGAAATTGTTTCTCTTATTAAAAGAATTTGATTAGCCAAAGGTCAAAGAAATGATTGAATATAAGGGTGTGGGGGTTGGAGGGATGCACATGTGGAGGGGAAAACAGCAGGAGATGAAGTACAAGCATTTCTTCCTCAAATCATGTCTGATTTCTGCAGAAACTAACTTCCTTAAAACATCTGTGTTCACTCAAGGTGATGGTATGCCTCTCTATTTTCTTTTGAGGAACTGCAAAGAAAATCCACATTTGCACTTGCAAATGAAAAGAGTCTTAAGGAAAAAAACAAACAAAAAAACCAAACAAAAAACAAAACACAACACAAAACCAATCTGTTTCATTTAGGTTATACAACGTAATTGATCAGACTGCAAAGCATGCAGCTTGGTGAAACAATTAGACATTCAATTTACTAAATAAATTCAGCAGTTTCCACACAAACACTTCTACACTATTAAAAAGAGTCTAATGATTTCCAAACTACTTCCCCCCATCCTCCTGAAACAGAAATGCTTCCTTTCCGTCTTTCTCAGCTTTTTATCTGCAAGACCTTATTACAGATAATTATTTCACAGGAAAAGTGGTGAAAAACTATGACAATGGGCAGAGTATAAAACTAATGGACTCAATCCACTTTTTGCTGAAAAGTTGCCTGATCTGAATGCAAAGGGAAAAACTCAAGATTATCTGTATTTCAGGTGATGCAAATGATTTCCTGAGTTAAGTTCTCAACATAGTAATCCTATCTCAGAATAGGATAGCTCTCTCTGTTGTCATCTTCTGCTACATTTTATATTAAATGCAAGTAGAATCTCTTTGTAGGAGGCAGTTCTGTAAGATAAGAATACTTTGTGCACACCAATGCATCACTTTTTTTAACCACAATTAATTAATGCTTTCCTTCCTTGTCCTGATCAATAGTTAGGTCTACACCTCTGTCTTAACCTCTAGGCCTGCAGAGGATTATACCACAACTTTAGTTCTAATTCAAGATCATTTTTTTTTTACATACAGCCGTCATCTTTACCTGCCAAACTCTTTTTTTCTGCCCATTTTATTTATCTTGCAGAAACATGTTACTTGAGAACACTACAGCAATTTAGGGGTTAAATAATTTAACTTTATCAGTGTTTCGAATGTTAAAATTTCACTAAAATTCTCACAGTAATTATGGAGTTGTATTTTATTACTAAATCCATAGTCCAGCAAATTCTGATGAGTAATATCCTTAAATATGTATAAATACGTATGAGAATATCTGTGCAAATCATTGTCATTTTTCTCCCTGCAAAATTCTTGAAAGCCCTTCACAAAAGAGGTCAGTATCATTATCACAGTAAGATGCATATATGATTAATATTTGGAAAGGAATTTCAAATGCCACAGGTGTCAGGGCTACAATTAATAAGGTCTTATTCTGTCTTATGCTACAGATAAGTTTTGGTTGTCTGAGTCTTCCTACAGCTTGGAGAAATTGAAATTAAAGGTTTGGATTCAGCTATAGTAGATTTTCTGCTCCATCCCAACAGCATGGCCTTTAAAATAAGGATTGTTTCTTGTTGGAAAGACACTGTTTCCTGGAGGCATTCATCATACAGATATTGGATGGACTCCAATCTCATAGCTCATGGTCTTAAGTCTAGCAGTTTTTCTAAAATCTCATTCTTGAGGTAAATATGTGAGGAAAAAACCTCCAACATTTTGCAGCATCTCTTTTTCAAAATGGATCCCTTAATGCAGAAACACTCTCTAACAACGTGGCATAAACAATTTAACTCTGCCTGGACAAATTCAGCACAGTTAACACCTTTGTTTATTAATATACATTAATGTAATCTTCTGTTTATTGCATGCCTCTTATCCCCAAGGACACAAAAAGCACTCAATAAATGTTACCAACAGTTCTGTGCAGACTAAATAGAGGCATTATTTCATCCAGCACCCAAACACAGCCACCCCTAAGTGTTGGACCCTGGCAGTAGAACCACTCTATACTGCAGTATTTTGAGTGAGGGAGAAAAACTGGATCCAGTTGAAAAATCTAAGGAGAACACAGGTAGGCTGAATATAATCTTTTAACTTGCAATGTGCACTGAGAGTGAGGGTTAATTCTGTGATAGGGGTGACATGAAATGATACCGAATGTTTCTTCACTAACTCAGAAGCAAAGGCCACAAGTGTTAGTCTTTAGTACTGGAGGCCCAATGCATTTCTTACTCTACACTTAGAAAAGTCTCCACAGACACTTCAGGTCCTAGTTCAAGAACCATATTTTACCTTGAAACCTGGGAGCAGAGCCACGTTCCAGGGGCTTAAGGAATCCAACCTACATGAAATCCTGGGTCTAAAGGCATTAACAGAGGGGTTTTTTCCATGAAAGTTCAGCAGTCTGGATTATCAGACCTGATTCCACCTTGTGCATCTTCTCAGCTTCATTTAAAATACTGTGTATGTGTGTCTAACCAACACAGTTCAGCCTACATGGCCCTGGGGGAGCATAATGAATCTTAACTCAATCCTCAAATTGACCACAGAGTCCTTAATTAAGATCCAGCAAATTTTGCCTTTTCCATCAAACCATGTGAAGCATTTGAGGGCAGTTGTGTTGCACTGCTGTACGTAGTGACCAAATATAACCCACCAACGTTTTACTAAAGAATCTTCCTTACAGTGATGTTGTGAAATCCAGAAATCTCAAAACCCAACTTGAAAATAATGGAGACAGTAAACATGGCACCTCATAATAATGTTTTGTCTACATAATCCTTTTCCAGTTTAGGCTGCACTTGAACCCTTCATAAAGTATCATTTATTGGGTGGCAAAAGTTTCTACACTGTACAAACAAGGCTTGTTATTACACATTTGCTGTTTACCTATTCTTGCAATCACTCTTTAAAGTCTAGTAGAATTTTTTTTCTGCTTTGATGCTACAGTGCATTTGCTGTGCTTAAGGCAACAACAGCAATATTTTCTCTCGACATAGACAGCAAAAATAACTTTAAGGTAAGTCTAGCACATGCAAGCTTTCCCAGTGCTGAAATCTTTTATAATAGAATAAGTATTTGGCTGATCGTTTTTTGCCACACTGAACACCACCTGCCAGAAGCCAGCAGGAAAGAAAAAAAAATAAGAGAAAAAAAAAAAAAAGGAAAAAAACATAAGGAAGAACTGCTCCAGCATCAGGGAGACTGAACAAGCTGCAAACACTGCTACATTTGTTAACTCTAAACAGAATATCAGAAGTAATAAAAGGAACGACAAGAATGGAAAGAACAGATTCATCTTCAGCCACTTCTCCATGTGATGAGCCATAGCATTCAGCCAGAAAACATTTCCTGCTCTGCAAAACCACAAACATTTGTAGAGCCAAAAAGGGTATTGTTCTTCTCAGTGAATAGTTTCAAACTACTGGAATGCTTAAAGTAAGAGAATGTTCTTATGAGTTACTGTTATTTAGTCAGCAAGTTGTGAAACCCTCACCAGGTGAGAATGGCAAACTGCGGACAGGATCCCTGCCCCTAGGGATTTAGAGGTTGTGGCACTGATCCTGCAAGCAGATAAGCACCCAGAGACCAAAGAGAGGCCCTGGTAAATTAAGTGGTTCTTGGAGCTGCTGGCTGTAGCCAATTGTGCAGATGCAGTTCAAGGAGATGAGTCTAGAGGACAACACCACAAGGCAAAATAAGGGAGGAGGCAACAGGAGGAAAGATATGGTTAATACTAGGAAAAAAAAAGCTTACCAATACTGTACAAAATAAGGAATTTGAGGGGAAGGGAAAGAATAGGATGTAAGAGTAGGAATCATATTCTATTCCTACTAAGAAATTTAGATAAAAGGTTAAACTGATAACTCACAAAACATCTCATCTGCTCATGTGGCATTCGATCATTACGTGAAAATTTGAAGCTATAAAAGAACATTGCAGTGGAACAAAATATGGTACCAGCCAGCTGATGGATAAACCACCTTTGAGGCCACCCCTGGGAAATGCTGCTTTAAGCAACATGAGCTCGTGCAATAGCGTGGGGCACCAAATCCACTGATACCAGTCCTTTGTGGCACTGGGGAAGAGTTCACCCAACTAAAGCAAGCTCAGGTAACAGGACCCACATGTAAACAAGACTACAACGACATGCCCCTGAGATGCAAACAGAGAAAAGGGACACCAGTGCCACTCAAAAGGAACACAAAGTTCCCCAAGGTGACACCAGTCTGAGGCTGCAAATCAAGCCTGCACAGCAGGAGAGGCCTGGAGCGGTATCACCATTCACATGCAGACAAGTACTGCCTCCTGGCTGCCACCAGCTCTCCCAGCAACCACTGCCACTGAGCTCCCACAGGATTTGGGATTTTGCAGTGTGAACAGAGTCGGCTTGGGTGTCTCTGCATTCAGGTCATGGTTAATCAATTACCTAGTAATAGGTTTTAATAAACATACAGAGGCATCCAGACATGACTGGAACAAGGAGAGAAACATATAGTATACTACTTGTAATGAAAACAAATTGATGAATTATTTTTTTTTAAAGTATATAAAAATCACATTTGTCTCTTTAACTTAACATCTTCCAAAAAAAACCCAGACTTACGTTCCCAAAAGCTCCTCATGCTTTTTGTTATCCTTTCTCCAGACCTCTATGTCCAACATATCCTTCCTGTCAGAGAAGTAGTGAAAATCAAACTGTTCCCTCCACTGAGGATTTGCACTCTTACACAGTGTCTAGAAAACATGCAGTTATAGTATTTACTTTTCTTAAACGGTACTTATTTACACAGTAAAGCACATATCAATTCTTCTACAAGAACAAGGGTGGATGTTAGAGCATCAAATACTAAGGGCATTCCAACCAAAGATCCTCAGCCCATCACACACAGTCTCATCTTCCTCTCTCCCAGCCATGACAAATATACAAGCGTGATATGAATAACTGGCTGGAGCAATTCTGAAATGCAAGGTGGATCCATCAGCTCCACTTCCAGTGGACTATGGTTATATTCAACCTCATACACTGAAAGAAATCAACGACTAAACCTTTTGCGAACTAAGACCTGAAAACAAGTTTGAATGACTTCAGGAACCTAATTAAATATTTTTCACCCTTTTGTGTGAAGATATAGGCAAAGAAGGAGCAGCCTTGAAATTATCAACACCCAGTTAGTTTGGTATCTATAAATTGTCCCTCTGAGTTGGGTGGGATTGCTCATGTGATCAGGTTACTCTGAGTACTCACTGGATTGGGACCTGCAGTTTAGATCACGCTACACTACCCACCATCAGTATCAGCACGGCCACTGTGAGAACAGGAGATAGGATTAGCTGGACCATGACTAGGATTTCTTCCACCCTGTCTCTTTGCTGGACCATGAGAGATCATGCTTCATAAGCTGAATAAACTCCAGGAAAGAACATGCCAATTTGAAGTCTGATTAGGGTGCAAAAGCAGCAGTCCCCAACTTTTAGTGGACCTCAGGCAGAAAAACTAAGCAATTAGCTCCCTGCAGGCCACATAATGTACCTGACTTCTCATTTTAAACCTTTTAATTTTCTATGACTGCAAACACTGCAGTCTTGCAGACTCATGACACAGGTTACGGACCATTAAAGAGAAACATAAAAAGGAATCTTAACTCCAATAATGTATATTTATTCTAAAATAACTAACCCATGTGTTAATTTTCAAAGCTGCTTTTCTAAATGAAAACATTGTATTATGACCCTTGGTTTGAGGTCCAATGTGGGGGACAGAGTGCAAGTTTCAGATGCACCCACATCTGAATGTTATGCTCTGTACATTTTTACAGGAGGGGTTTGTTTCCTCCTCCCTCCACACTTCCAGTTCATGACACACAGAACTCTTGCTTTTTCAACAGGATATTATTCTAATTATACCCTCCCTCCTTACTACACTTTGGAGATGAAATGTGTGTCTTTGGGAATCCCATTAATTTCTTAGATTACCATGAAACAGTACTGGATACAAGTAAACACAGCCTGAAAGAATAAAAAATCAAATGAAAACCATGGTGTATTCTATGTGTTGGTGGGGTGATTGAGGGGCAGGTTCTGCTATCTCTAACGTTTTTCAAGAAAGGTGCTATAAAAAAAATAATAATTCCCCTGCACTGGCAACCACTTCAGGTCTGCTTTTCCAGCATACCTAACATTGCAAATCCAACTTCTGTATTGGCAGAGAACAAAACACATGTGTGATGCATGTAGCTTTATTTCATTTCATAGTTATGTCAAACATCCATCCATATGATGAGTATGCTAAATGCACAAAACAGATACACACAATATTCTTAACTTCCTATTTCTATACTGGCATGTAAAACATATTAGTAAAACGTTAATGTGCCGGATCTGGTCTCCTGGTTTTAATCTTGTTTATGCTAAAGAGACTCAAGAATAATTCCATCTGAGGTATCAACACCAATAAAAGAAACACCAAGGATCTTAGTGGCTTGAGCAAACTTCAGAAAATCCTTAATACTTACCTTACTCTTGTATCTTTGATCTCCCAGTTTGAGGAGAATAAAAATCTCTGTCAAGGCCCCTCTGGAGATGTTCTTCCCCTCCAAGAGCGTGATGGTGACCAGCCCATTCCACAACTGGTTCTTGCGCAAAGAGTCGGAGAGTCGCACGCTCCGCATGAAGCTCGACTGAAAAGCAAGTCAGCAACACATTTACACACCCAAACCAACATTTTCATGCTCAAACTAACTCTGATACAAAAGCACCAGAAACAAAAGAGGTACCACGATCCCCCGGGAGTAAGCAGAGAATGGAGGGCAGTAATATGCTATGGATTTTCTGCCTGTACTGTACTAAGGCTGGTCCCGTGAAGGGACTGTGTTCACTCAGTATCAGAGCAGAACCAGCAGGGTCAGCTTAGACCAGCAGAGCTAACCTGGCCAAGCTCTGGTAAGAACAGACCTCAAGCATTGAGAGCAATCTGTCACCTTGGCTCAGGGAAAGGCACAGGGGAGTGCTGGGGAGGAAAGTGAGAGGAGAGAAAGTAAACTCTTAAATGCCTCCAGCTACATCCGTTAAATGCAGGTCTGTTCCTTCTGGGGAAACAGCCCACAGTGATAATGTCTGTGGCCAGGTGAAAGGCTGAACACACATCTTCCGCATCCTCAATCATTCAACCGATCGTTGGCCGCATTAGCTCTGTGCCTGCTGCCTTTGGAGCTCCTACTTCCAGAAACCAAGCTCACGAATCAAAAATACTGACGCCTGCTGAAAAAACACTGACACCACCAGGGTCTTTATCTGGAGTTATGGATACCTGGTAGCCACATTTGTTACCTTCACAGCTCCATCCTACATAGCATGGCTGCGCTAACAGTTTGCTAACTGGCAATATTTTATTGGACAGAGGATGATTAAATAGGCCTTTATTTGGGGGGAGTGAGCTGGAAACATTAAAACTCAAGGCTATACTTTTCTTCTTGCAGTAAAAATCCTGCCATATTTTATTCTTGTGAAGCAACTTTTAACTCGCCACACTTCGGAGCTTCAATCATGTCATATACAGGTGGGAGCAAGATGGAGGAGAAGATCTCACAAGTCACTTTAGAACAGGACGTGTTAGCTTTAAAAGCAAGAAATGTTGTTGCTAAATAAAACGATTGCAAAAGCACCTGATGCCTGAAGATTACTTTTTATGGATCAATTACCCAGCAACAAAATTCTTAAATCATGGGCGGTGAACTCACTTTTTTTTTACTTGCTTTTTACTGGTTAAAAAGACCTAACTCTTTGAGTCCCACAAGCACATTAATACACTTCTATTTAAACACCCCATTTGGCTTTCCTGGCACACTGGTTAAAAATTCCTACCTTTAAAAAGAAAACGAGATTTTGATTCATACATCCAGCTGCAATGTAATTTCTTCTTCTCTTTTTCTCCCCTCCTGCCCCCTTTTTTTTTTTTTTAAGTTTGTCTTTTAGGCCAAAAAAGCTAAAGCATGACTGTTCCCATGGACATACTTCAAAGTCCCGGCAGATATATTCCTCCCTAAACACTGCAACTATTTCAAAATCCTTTTTATAAAAAAGGGAGTAATGTCCACAAGGGATCAAAGGGCATTCTACAGTCTGGCAATCGCCTTAGAAAAATGGCAGTGCTTCCATGAAATATGCCCTAAAATAATTTTGCAGCTTGGTATGTCCTAATTTCAAATTGGATGTTTATCTTGGAAAGGCTTCTATCTAACTTGTCCATAAAACAGCTCCACTTAGCTCTATGAGCCCTGTGAAAATGGAATCCAAAGCTGGCTATTAAAGGGGCCTGGAGATTGCTTCCATATGGCGTAACAGCATGGGAGTGGAGGGCTAAAGCCTACAGCAGGCGCTGCTTGGCTTGAGCTCCCCATCTATCCATGGACACTCGTTGCATTACACCAGAACATCTGGATTATTGCTTGTAATGTCCCTGGGAAATATCCACTTCCCATCAAAGCCTTTATCTATCTCAGTTGTACTTTGAACATTTTAGTATTTAACATAGTCATGTTTGATGTGATGTACTTGCTGCTTTAGGACCAAGGATTTTCCCTCCCCTCCTCGCTCCTTCCTCAGAGAAGGAAGAGGCATTTGATGTTAGTTCACACACAAAAAAACCCGGACAAAGTTTATTATCCACGTTACAATTTCTTTTAAAAACAAAGCATCCAGTTCTCTTCAAAGCTTCCAGGCTGACAGTTGTTATCACTCCGTTTTCAAATCGGATTTGGATTCTTTTCATTTTTTAACCAGGCCAGTATTTTCAGGAGTCACTCAGCACTGGGGGTCTTCCTACCCAAATTCTGTAGCATACATAACCCCCGCCCTTTAGCCACTGACTTGACAGTTCAAAGGGCTGCTGGGAGGTGCCCAAATTAGCCCAGATTCCAGGCGGTCCCAGGAAAAATCAGCACCTGCACTTCAGGATTACTAGAGCACATTGCAATGCATCAACTCTGACCTTTCAAAACAGGTGGCCCCTCGCAAATGCCGTCCCTGGCTACTTTCTGGACAAGATCTAGCATCACTTCAGAGCATCATGCTGGATAGAGGAGCCAAGATGTTTGCAACTGGTTTGGGGCATAGCGTTGATCTGCAGCACCTTGACACAGGCTCAGCGGCTGCAGTGCGTTTCCTGCCTCCTTCACCCAGATCTGCCACCACCACAAACCTCTCTCCAAATGAAGCAGCATGGAACCCAAGAAGTCTGCTTGCTTCACACCCCTGCAAGATAGCCTGTCACATTAGGAATGCTTTAAATTTCCTGCACGTTCCCAGGTCTCTCCTACAGCATAAGCTCAGCAGGTCTGGCATGACTCCTGTGCCCCGTGTCATCTATGTGCACACCGAAGACCCGCTCTGCAAATGTTCTGTCACCACCTTTCCACCTTCCCAGGCATTTGGCAGGCTGTTCCTCTGACCACCCCGATGGAAATCCCAGCCAAACAGGCAGTATCTCAGATTCCACTCCCAATTGCTGGAAGGAAGCACATCTGGGAGAACCGAGATGTGTGGTAGACCCACAGACCTGGACCATCAATGAGTCAACTTTAGTGTTGCCTGGGGAAGCCTGTGCTACAGAAAATGCCTCCCAAGTGACAGGAAAATGATATTGTACTATTTATTTTTAAAATCTTGCCTCCTCTCAGATACTCTGCACCTACTCATTTCAAACTGATTTACAGAGTTAATTGATTAAACTTCACAGCCTCCCTCTGAGCTGGCAAAACTATTGCAGAGCAGAGCACAGAGAATTCCGACAAAGTTACTCAGAAGCAAAACAAGCACTAAAAAACACCCCAAACACTTTCCCCTCTCTCCAGCCATCACTGTACTAACCTGTCTTCACAAGGAGACCAAAAAATCAAAGCCCCTGTCTGTACTGACCAGAAAAAGAGGACATAACTGCTTAATAAGTGACAACTTTGAAGTATTTTTATCTATTCAGCTCTTCACTTTCCCTGTTACTTTCCAGCCTACAGATGCCTCTACATTTGGGTACTTCAGCTCCTCCTGCTGCTGGACCAAAGCTCTTGCCAGCTGTGCTCCCAGACTGGGTGCGAGGTCCTTCAGACCTCTCCTGCTATATTTTCCTGCAAACTCTCTGCAATCATCCAGCTCACACTCTGGCTATGTCCCAGACCAAAGTAAAGGTGCTTTGCTGAGGTACAGAAAAATTGGCTGAATCAGGCTACAGGGCTTAAAACTAGGAAACATATGCTCTATGATGGAAGTTGGCACATGTCCCAAGGCCAAGACATTAGATAAGTTTACTTATCCCACCCTCAGCTCCCCCCACTGCTTCTGAAATCAAGATAGCCTTCAAACCAGAATTGGAGGAGTTGTGTCCAGAAAGAGCTCTGTTTCTGTTCTGGGTTCTATGTACAAATAAGCACTGATACCATAAAGGTCATCTTTAGGAGCAGTACATTGCTGTAAAACAGAGAACATCTTAAACAAAAAGAATCCCTCAAACAAGACAGCCAGAAAGAAAACAATAAGCACAAGAATATCCAGAAAGCTTTACCCTTAAAAACATGAGCCCATGTTTAATGCAGATTTAGGGACTGTGCAATATCAGGTAAGCAACGAGTAGTCTTCTCTGAAGCCAAAGTATAGGCTGGTGATAGAACAGGACAATGACAGGTGAGGAACAGAAGATGGTTCCTCTCTACTGCTTACAAAGAACATTTGCCCAGAAAACATCCCACACCTCTGCATACAAAAACTGAAAACCAGTGCTCACAATACCATTTTCAGAACGTATTTCCTGGTTTCAAAATGAATACAAAAGCTTCTCACACCTACTTTCTATTTTTTATTGCTTTCTGGTTTTCATTTAAAGAAGAAGGCTGGACAGGAATGACCAGGTGGGCCATATTCTGCTTTCACAGAGCCAAATGGGAGAGGAGAGAGAATGATGGAGCTTTGGAGAGAAAAGAAGCGGCTCATTGACCCAGCTTCTCAAAATCCTTTAGGAGCTCAAGTCTCCCTGATAACACCATTTGTATATAATCTCCCTCCATAGGCACCTGGTGAATCCCCTCTGGTGAATCAAGGCAGCTTTCAAATCTGTCTCTTTTCCTGACACACATACATGCCCCAAGTTCAAACTTGTTTTTGAAGCAATAAAGAGATGCAGAAAAAATGGTACATTTAAATGACACGGTGAGGTGGCCAAGTGTGAAGCGCACCCGTCTCTCCCATCCTTCATCTAAAAGGATGAGACAGGACAACAGAAACCCTGCTGCAGCCCCCGCCAAGAGGTCAGCGTCAAAACTGGGCCACATAATCTGCCATTGGAGAAAACAACAACACGCAGATCGG